GAGCCACGACGTTCAGATTAACCAATAGGGAAGAAACAGGGACAAGGAAGGAAGGCCAAGTCCAGAATGTTAACACCCAGGCCACCAATTCAACAGATCAACTCATGCAATACCTGACACGTGTAAGGACTTATGACCACAGACGTAGGGGTGGGTTCGGTTTAATTCGGTTTGGTTTTTTGCCAAAACCGAAACCAAACCGAAATTTCGGTTCGGTTCGGTTCGGTTCATTTTTTTTTCGGTTTTTTTCGGTTCGGTTTTTTTCAGTTCGGTTTTTTTCGGTTCGGTTTCGGTTTTTTGTTTTTTTTTTTCTTTCAAAAAATGAAAAACATTGAAATTTTAAATTTAAACGTATCCAACACAATCATAACAACAAGCATTCTAACTATAATCAAAGACAATGAAAATAAACATTTAAAGTTGAACTAAAATCATCAATCAAGTCTTCCAAAGTCCAAACTAACAACATCACAACACAAAAATCGTACAAATGACTTAGAAAAGTTAATTGTATGATGTTGTTCAAAGATCAGGGTTGTTTGCTTGTAACTGCATGTTGACAACTTGATTAGTAAAAAATGCGTGGTGGTGGATACAGACGATACATGGTGAGTAGCAAAAAGGGTCAAAACATATATCTTTGAGAATGCAAATAATTGTTTTGAAATTAATGTATTGTATGGTATAATCTGCATTATAGGAGGACATTCAGCTTATCAAGGATCTTGGAGTGAACTCCTATAGATTCTCCGTTTCCTGGACAAGAATTCTACCACGTTATTTTCCTTTCTTTCCAGTCCTTTGCTTTGTTTTAATTCCATTTTTTCTTTATCTCCTTCTTGTTTAAGTTAATTTGATCCTTTATAACAAAATGATGGAGGCTCATGTTGATGAAACCTATGTTAAAAGTACAACACCAGCCCAAATAATGACTGGCCCATGATGAAGAAACAAAGGAGAAAACATGCATATGCTATAATCTTCTAGCATGAGTGTGTCGGTGGGAACAAGCTAGAATTGTCTAGCTATTATAACAATTGTGTGGCTGCCATGCAAAGCCCAAAGGCGGTGGGCAATTGTAGTCGGCAAAACCACACCTATAAATAGGTGTGTGTGTGTGTTGCTAAAAAATCAACCAACCAACCAAGAAGTAGTAGGCAACCAAGTGAGAGTGAGAGGTAAGAGTAGTCTTGTAGGAGTGTGAGTGGTCTAGAGTGTGTCTCTAGAAAGAGTGAGTGTCATAACTTTTAAAAGTTATGTCCTTGTGAGTGTTGTAATATTTTGTGTGTGTAATACAAGTAATTTGTTTACTTGTTTTGTCCCTCCAACACTTGTGTTAGAATTATGTACTCTAAGTTTTCCCCAATAATTGGTATCAGAGCGGTACAATTAAGGACCGTCTCTAGTGAAGTTTTTAAGAATCGTGAGAAGTTTAGTACTTCGCAAGATTATTCGTTAATCTTGTTTAGCTTATCGAAGTTTTGCCAACACGATGGGAGATCTTCAAGTTGTTGGAGGAATCAAGAAGTTGAACAACAAAAATTACAACACATGGGTGACGTGTATGGAGTCTTACCTATAAGGCCAAGATCTTTGGGATGTCGTCGGCGGTAATGAAGTTACACAGCCGGAAGAAGACACCAGGGGCGCTTTGAGGAAGTGAAAGATCAAGGCAGGTAAGGCCATGTTTGCCTTAAAAACCACAGTTGAAGATGACATGTTGGAGCACATACGAAAGGCCAAGACATCGAAAGAAGCGTGGGACACCTTCACCACACTCTTTTAAAAAAGGAATGATACAAGACTGCAGCTTCTCGAGAATGAGATGTTATCGGTGGCCCAACGAGACATGACGATTGCTGAATATTTCCACAAGGTAAAGTCTATTTGCCGTGAAATTTCTGAGTTAAATCCTAGTGCTGCCATTGTAGAATCCAGGATAAAAAGAATAATTATCCATGGATTGAGACCCGAATATTGAGGTTTCGTTGCCACTGTACAAGGATGGCTGACCCAACCATCACTTGTTGAGTTTGAGAATTTGCTTGCCGATCAAGAAGCTTTGGCAAAGCAAATGGGAGGGGTCTCGTCAAGAGATGATGAGGAAACGCTCTACACCAAAAGTAAAGGCATCTTTAAGCAGCGTGCTAGTGGTGGATCTAAAAGAAATGGTGACAAGGAAAAGGGTCATCAAGGATGAGAGAGTTCTCGGTGAGGGGGAGCTCCAACGTATCACCGCAACCGTGGTCAGTCCTAGAATAATAAAAGGTTTGAAGGCAAGTGCTACAATTGTGGAAAGAATGGCCATATGGCGAAGGATTGCTGGTTCAAAAGGTCCGCAGAGAGTAATGTCGCCAGCTCAAAGGAGAAAATTGAAGATGATTGGGATGTCATTGCGTCTCTAGCCTTGGAGGAAGAATGGGACACTGAAGCATCCGTTGTAATGGAGAAGCAAGAGTCACCTCACACAAGTCTGGAGTCAATTGACTACCAGAATGATTGGATCGTGGATTCAGGCTGCTCAAACCATATGACAGGTGATGAGAAAAAAGTTACAAAGTCTGACTGAGTACAAAGGAGGCCGCTTGGTGGTGACAACTAACGACTCAAGGCTACCGATTGCTCATATCGGTAAGATAGTAATTGAGCCTCGATACAACACTTACCATGTGCTGCTTCAAGACGTCTACCATGTTCCAGGTATGAAAAAAATCTGCTTTCAGTGTCGCAACTAACGTCATTGGGAAATTATGTCTTGTTTGGTCCACGAGATGTGAAGGTGTATCAACACCTCAAGATCTTAGGGATGCCAACAATGGAGGGACGGCAATTGCAGTCAGTCTATGTAATGTAAGCATAAACTGCATACGTAGACAAGACAAGGAAGAACGAGACAGCAGATTTATGGCACATGAGATTGGGTCACGTTAGCTATCACAAGCTAAATGTGATGATGAAGAAGTCAATGCTTAAGGGGCTACCTCAACTTGACGTGAGAACAGACACGGTTTGTGTAGGATGCTAGTATGGTAAAGCACATCAATTACCATACAAAGAGTCAAAGTTTAAAGCGAAAGAGCCGTTGGAGTTGGTTCATTCAGATGTGTTCGGGTCCGTTAAGCAACCATCGATAAGTGGGATGCGGTAAATGGTGACGTTCATTGATGAATTCCCCAGGTATGTGTGGGCGTCTTGGGCATGCTGGTGAAAAAGCGTTGCAAGGATTGGTGAAGCAAGGCTTATTGAAAGGTGCAAAGGCATGCAAATTGGAATTCTGTGAGCATTGTGTGTTGGGTAAGCAAACTAGAGTAAAATTTGGCACTGCTATTCACCACACTAAAGGCATTCTTGATTATGTTCACACTGATGTTTGGGGACCTTCCAAGAATGCATCTTGGGGAGGTAGCCATTATTTTGTCTCCTTTGTTGATGACTTCTCTAGAAGAATATGGGTGTACACCATGAAGTGTAAAGATGAAGTCTTGAAGATATTCCTGAAGTGGAAAAAGATGATTGAAACGCAAAGCGGTCAAAAGATCAAGACTCTCAGATCAGACAATGGGGGTGAATATAAGTCTGATCCTTTCTTGAAAGTTTGTCAAGATGAGGGTATTGTGAGGCACTTCACAGTTAGGGAGACACCGCAACAGAATGGGGTGGCGGAGCGCATGAACCGTACTTTGCTTGAGAAAGTTCGGTGTATGTTGTCTAATGCTGGATTAGGCAAGGCATTTTGGGCTGAGGCCCTCACTTATGCAAGCCATCTCATTAATCGATTGCCAGCTGTTACGAATGAGGGCAAAACGCCCATGGAGGTATGGTCTGGTAAACCTTGTACTGATTACAAGTTTTTACACATATTTGGTTGTCCTGCTTACTATTATGTCAGAGAAAGCAAGTTGGATCCAAGAGCAAAGAAAGCTCTATTTATGGGCTTTAGCACTGGCGTGAAGGGATACTGACTCTGGTGTCCAGATGAGAAGAAATTTGTTGTAAGCAGAGATGTGACTTTTGATGAGGTTGCTATGGTTAATCAGAACAAGCATGAAGGTGAAACTGAAGCGACCGAGACCATGAGTAGCTCAAAGCAGGTGGAGTTACTGAAGACTTCAGTTGTTCCAGTAAGGTCTGATGTTACAACCACTAGTCCTACAGTTAATTCTGATGATGAGGACGAGGATGATGAAGAGGAAGCACTTACCCAAGAGCCTCCACAGCAACAAGACTATATTGCAACCAGAAGATCGAGAAGGGAAATTCGAAAGCCTGCTCGATTTACTGATATTGTGGCATATGCACTTCCTGTTATTGAAGATGATATTCCATCCGCCTACAAAGAAGCTGACATGAGTTCAGAGTGCGAGTTGTGGAAGAAATCTATGGATGAGGAGATGAAATCTCTTCATAAAAATGAGACTTGGAATCTGGTTCAGTTACCAAAGGGGAAGAAAGCAATTGGTTGTAAATGGGTGTATGCCAAAAAAGATGGAATCTTTGGGAAAAGACAATGTAAGATTCAAAGCCAGATTGGTAGCTAAAGGCTACGCTCAGAAGGAAGGCATTGACTACGATGAGGTATTTTCTCCTGTAGTAAAACATTCTTCTATTCGTATTTTGTTGGCTTTGGTTGTGCAGTTTGACCTTGAGTTGGCCCAACTTGATGTCAAGACTGCGTTCTTACATGGTGATTTGGAGGAAGAGATTTATATGTCTCAGCCAGAAGGTTTTAAGGTTGCTGGAAAGGAAAATTGGGTTTGCAAATTGGAAAAATCATTGTATGGCTTGAAGCAGTCTCCAAGACAATGGTACAAGCGATTTGATCGATTTATGATCATGCAAAAGTACACAAGAAGTCACTATGATCATTGTGTATACTTTCGCAAACTACAAGATGGAACCTTCATTTATCTGCTTTTATATGTTGATGATATGCTTATAGCATGTAAGAGCAAAGTGGAGATTGAAAGGTTGAAGACTCAACTAAGTAATGAATTTGAGATGAAGGACTTGGGAGAAGCTCGGAAGATACTAGGTATGGAAATTGAAAGAGATAGAGCGAAGGGCAAGATTAGTATGTGTCAGAAGCAATATTTGAAGAAGGTACTACAACGTTTCAGGATGAATGAAAATTCAAAACCGGTTAGTACACCTCTTGCCTCTCATTTCAAACTTAGCGCTTCTATGTCTCCTAAAACTGTTGAAGAGAGTCAGTACATGGCTCAAATTCCTTATGCAAATGTTGTTGGTAGTTTGATGTATGCTATGGTGTGTACTAGGCCTGATATTTCACAAGCTGTTAGTATTGTCAGTAGATATATGCATAATCCAGGAAAAGGGCATTGGCAAGCTGTGAAATGGATTCTACGGTATATTCTGGGTACTGTGGATGTTGGTTTATTGTTTCCAGCAGGATAAAGTTACTGGTAAATGTGTTGTTGGATATGTGGATTCTGATTACGCAGGTGATTTGGACAAGCGTAGGTCCACTACTAGTTTTGTATTCACTATTGCTGGAGGTCCAGTAAGTTGGAGGTCAATTCTGCAATCTACAGTTGCTTTGTCGACTACTGAGTCAGAATACATGGCTGTAACAGAAGCTATAAAGGAAGCCATCTGACTTCAAGGGTTGCTTGATGACTTAGGGGTTCAACAAGACCATGTGGATGTTCATTGCGACAGTCAGAGTGCTATTCATTTAGCAAAGAATCAAGTTCATCATGCACGTACGAAACACATTGACGTGAGGTTCCATTTTGTTCGTGAGGTTATTGACAAGGGAGATATTCTTCTTCAGAAGATTGGGACTGCTGACAATCCTGCGGATATGTTAACAAAGCCAGTTTTGTTGCTCAAGTTTAAGCACTGCTTAGACTTGATTGGCATTTGTAAAATTTGTTGATTGCCCCATGGGGAAGTGGGAGACGACTATTAGGAGTTCTACTTAGAGGGTTTGAGCCAAGGTGGAGATTGTTGATTATTGGCTCAAACAAAGTAGTCTAAAACCAACAACTAATTTCGGCTACTTTTGTGGTCAAAATTGTTGGTTGGCATGCTACATGTGGGAAACAAATTGTGCCTAACTCTTTTTGACTTGATAGGTAGGCCTTTGGCCATTGATGTCTTTGAGAAGCTTTTCTTTGGCTATAAAAGGTGAGCCCATAAGCATGGAAAGGTGAACAACAAGGAAGAGGAAAAATAGCAAGAAGCCATTCGGCATAGAGAAGAATTTTCTCAAATTGTCTTGCTTTGTAATTTTTTGTTTTCTCTTCCTATTGTAAGTGTGAGAGCTTGGGTTATTCGGGTCTTTGGGAAATTGAGTGATAAACACTATTGTATGTTCTCATTGATTATAGTGGAATACTCTGTCGTCTCCAAACTAGATGTAGGCATTGCCGAACCAGTATAAATCTTGGTGTTCTTGTTGGTGTTGGTTTTATTCTGTTCTGTTTTACTTATTCACGTACAGTCGAATGCCGCTTCCGCACAACACAAAGGTGGTGGGCAATTGTAGTCGGCAACCAAGTGAGAGTGAGAGGTAAGAGTAGTCTTGCAAGAGTGTGAGTGGTCTAGAGTGTGTCTCTAGAAAGAATGAGTGTCATAACTTTTAAAAGTTGTGTCCTTGTGAGTGTTGTAATATTTTGTGTGTGTAATACAAGTAATTTGTTTACTTGTTTTGTCTCTCCAACACTTGTGTTAGAGTTGTGTACTCTAAGTTTTTCCCAACAACCTATGCAGAGGGAAGCATAAGTGGTGGAGTTAACCAACTTGGTGTAGATCATTACAATCGTCTGATCAATGAATTAATAAGAAATGGTAAATAATATTTTCTCAGGATTTGTTTGATTTAAAATGTTCCTGTGTCCTAATGCAGGCATTGAGCCTTTTGTCACGATGTATCACTTTGATTTACCCCAAGTTCTGCAAGAGAAGTATGGAGGCTTGATGCATCAAATGTTTGTGTAAGTTTAATCTTGTAGAATTATCATGTATTGTTTATTTAGAGTTTCATTTCGTTTAATAAATCATTTCATCTCTATCTGATATTGTGAACACGAGTATACATGAAAAGAAAACTCGCCTCTGATGATTATCAAGGCTCATCATATCTTTCCCTTCTTCTACTTCATGCTTTCTCCTTCTTGTGCTTAACCTTTTATATATCCATGGAATCTTTCTCCATCTTGTAAAAAATATGGTCTGTTTTTTGCAGGAAAGACTTCAGCGATTATGCTGAGCTCTGTTTCAAATTGTTTGGAGATAGAGTTAGGCATTGGTTCACCATCAATGAGCCAAATGTTATTGCACAATATGGCTACGAGCTTGGGATTGCCCCACCAGGAAGGTGCTCGCTTCCACAAGGACATTGTGCATTGGGATCTCCACCTCGATGTATGGTGCCACGGGCCCCTGTAACTTTGGTGGTAACTCATCCACGGAGCCTTACATTGCTGCCCATCACCTCATCCTTGCTCACGCCACCGCTGTGAAGTTATATAGAGAGAGATACCAGGTTAGACTTATAGAAACTGGGTTCATCTCTATTCAAAGTTCAAAACTCAGTGAAGGAATCTTGATAAAGTTTGCTTCGGATGTCATCTTGTAGGTAGAGCAAAATGGAGAAATTGGAATCGTCCTTGCTACTAAGTATTTTAAGCCATATTCTAAGTCACAGGAAGATCGAGCTGCAGCAAAGAGACTGTTTGATTTCTACCTAGGATGGTCAGCATGACCACTAATGATAACTTTGAGAAGTCCATTAATTAATTTAATTTTGATCAAGTTTGTTTGTTTGGATGATTTTTTGTTATAATTTTGGATCGGTTTCTTGGGGTAGAATGACAGAGAATTGAGAGGATATTGGAGTGTTGTTTTCAACTTCAAGGTTGTGCTGAAAATGCAGCAACCATACTTCATTAAGTAGAGAGAAAATGTGTAAGGGTATGGTACATTTCCATCACCCATACTTGTGTAAAAGAGTTGGTGATTAGACAATATTTAAACACTAAAATCACCTTACTACTCCATATTAAATCCTAGCCCTTCATTGGGATTTAAGTGATCTAATATGGAGTTTACATTTGTCACTCACACATTTAAACAAAAAACTAGCCGTTGGAGGCCAACCCTTCATTTCTTCTTCTTTCTTCTTCGATGCAGACAACACCCTTTGCTCAGGAGCTCCTTGCTGCCTTCGACCCCTTGACTCTAGGAGCTGGTTAGCTTCCAACAAATTTCATTAGCGGTTGATTAATATTAGCTTTTTGTTTAATCTGCATTAGGTTGATGGGACCGTTGGTATTTGGAAAATACCCACAAAGCATGAGAGAGCTGGTGAAGGAAAGGCTGCCCACATTTTCAGCAGAAGAGAAATCTCTTGTCAAGGGGAATTTAGGCTTTGCTGGGATAAAGTATTATGTATCAGTTCATGCAAAATATAGACCTCCTCCTCCTACAGAGAATCTGAGATATTCCTACGATCCATGGGCCGAAGAAAAAGGTAAAATGCGGTACTTGCCATAGCCATAATGGGAGGAAAAAAAAAAAAAAAAAAAAACTAAGCATCTAGAGGTTCTAATGTTTTGTTTCTTGATTTGTTTTGGTTATTGCAGATATCAAAGTTGTTCCTGGTGTGGTAAGAAACTTCTAAAAATTTGCTGTTGTTATCACAGTTCTTGAAGCTTTCTTGGATGAAATTTGTGTTACATTTTCCTTGTGGTGCAGTCCGGGAACCATTGGCCAGAAGGGCTGCAGAAGCTCATGAAGTATGTGAAGAATAAATATCGTAGCCCACAAATCTACATTTCTGAAAATGGTTGGATTTCTAACTTGTGCTTCAGTTAATCCACATATGTTTGAAAGCATCCAATGACTAAAGAAAGTTATCACTGAACCTTAACATGAATTGTAACATCTGCTGCAACTTTTATAGGATATGGTAACCGAAGAAATGACAGACTTCCGCTTGATGGACAACTAAAGACCCGGATCGAATCTCCTATATTGCTCGGCATTTGTATCTATTCAATAAGGCAATGAAGTAAGCGATATAATTTCTTAACATGAATTGACTCAAAGTATCATTTCTCATTCTTATCCAGCTTATTGCAGGAACGGAGCAAATGTCGAAGGATACTTTTGCTGGGCTCTGTTCGATTACTTTGAATGGGGTATAGGATTGTTGCAACAATTTGGTCTTTATTATGTTGATTTCGAAGACAACTCCAAGCGCTACCCCAAGCAATCAGCTAAGTGGTTCCGTGATTTCAACAACAACAACTACTAGTACTTCAATTAATAGATCGACTTAGTTACATAATCTCTCATTCCGTTTTTATGCTGTACTTCATATGTTTCTATAATCAAGACTCTCGCAGGTGTGACTTTAAAATTTATCTATGCTATTAAGAATTTTCTATTTGTGGTATTCATCTGTTATATCGTGGTAAGAATACTTGTGTAGGACATTTATGGTTACACTTCATAAAATATAAAAATCAAAATAAATCCAAACAGCTTCGATTACAAATAACTTAAGGATATTCAATTTTGTTTCGCAATTTGATTAGTACCGCAAGAGGTCACGCTAAGTTTCAGTGTTTTCAAACATGAGTTCAAACTCGAAAGAGCTAAGATATAGTTCACCAATTTTTCCTTCTGAATATATAAGGCTTCTTTTGACAGTAGAAAAATTCAATTTACTGCCTGAACGAACAGAAAAGTTCAAGTAGTAAAGTTCAATTTACACATGCACTATATGCAATCACATCTCGGTTTCACAAATGGAGGAACCTTTCGAAAAGAGCCAGCTATGCTCACTTGTTCGGCTCTATAAATTTTCTGTACCCCCTGTAGGCAAGGTGACCCTGTTAATTTCATTACTTAATTTACACATTGAAGTGCTTGCCTGCATTGCTTGGTCCACGTTTCCAACATGTGAGTACAATACAAAGACATAGCCCTCAGAGACACAATGTAGTCAATGGCAGCCAGAGCTCATTTGTTGGATATGTAGCTCATGTTCACTTCTCCATGGAGGTATTCGGGATGAGAATCTCGAACCTTGGGGATGATGTCATCATATTTAGGCCTAAACCGGTGAGACACCTGGTTGTGACTCACATATCCCCTTTCTAGCTGGAGATGGAGTGCAAAGTAAAGCTCCTAAATCCATATTCTCTTTGGAAGTAGATTCCAAGTTCTCAAACTTCTGATCACAAAAAGCTACCTGAAAACTAAAGCGAATGTGGAAATGATGATCATCTGAACTTTCAATATGTATATACGAAAGAAGGGTATACATGGGTTGATAATTGAAATTCCCCAGCAAGGGAAGGAAAATGAGAAAGATACAAGATTAGGGTTTAGGGTTAAGAGTTAGTCAGAATGGGTTTTATAAGTGATTAAAATTGAGAAGCACCCTCCTGAGATCACCTAGAAAGTAATCTGCAATTTTCGCCTGCATCTTGCACATGATACTCCAATGTGGCAAAAACAACAATATATATGATCTCCTTCTGTCTAGGAAGTTTTCATCCTATCATTTCCCTACTGATTAATGTTCTTTTTTGTTCTTGTGTAAATTTATAATTCTAGGAATTATTCAGACAATGAAATTTATGTGTCCAACTTTCAAACAATGGAGTTTAAACTAAAAAGATTTTAATTGCTGTAAATGGTAAATTCTGGTCATTAAGAATCCATGAAAATTAGTACTTCCCCATCCAAAATAGCATAATAGATAAATTTCAGAAAATTAGATTTTATCATTTTAAAATTCTTTTGTAATTTTAAATTTCGAATAAAGCATTATTCTTTTACGGTAGAAGAAACTTCGGATATTTGGTGAATTTTCAACGCAACCATCACACTGCCTTTGGTGTGGAAAAGATTACCAACGATTCATGTAGTCGAACTCTTAGCAATTGGAAGACAAGCATCCCATTGTTTTCTATTCATCTTCAAAGCCTTTAATTTGTTTACATTTGGGAGAAGTTGTTTAAGAGCTTTTTTCACCAATGCTTTATGGCATGGTAAGCCCTCACTTATAAGCTCAAGGCAGCAACCTGGTTCGATGTCTACACAGTCTTCATAAAGCATATTAGGTCATCTCCAACCGAAAGGTCCAAAGGGCTAGAGGGCCGAAAATAGCCCGAAAACCATTTCCAACTGAGGGCTAGGCCAAAGGACTCTGGAATCTGGAAGGGCCCTACGGAATCGGAGAGGGCTGGAGGGCTGACCATTTTTTTTTTAATGTTTTGTTATTTCTGTCGGTTATAACCGACATGATTTCTTAAGAAAAAATTCAAATGAAACGGCTAGTAGCCATTGCATTTGATTTTATTTTTTTACAGTTTTATTATTATTTTTTATTTACAAAATTTTTCATATAACTTCTATTTTTTTCCTATAACTTCTATTTCACAAAATTTATTTCATATTTTTTTTAAATTCCATTTTTTTCCTATAACTTCTATTTCACAAAATTTGTTTCATATTTTTTTTTTAAATTCCATTTTTTCCTATAACTTCTATTTCACAAAATTTGTTTCATATTTTGTTTAAATTCCATTTTTTTCCTATAACTTCTATTTCACAAAATTTGTTTCATATTTTTTTTAAATTCTATTTTTTTTTCCTATAACTTCTTAAGCCATTGTACAACATTAAATTAAATTAAGTAACATGAAACAACATTAAACAATATGAAACAACATTAAATAACATTAACCAACATAAAAATTATACAACATGAAACTTAAACAACATTTTTAAAAACATTTAAAACATAAAACGTAAATGCCTACTCCGTGCTTCTTTGGGCCCAAAGATGTGCAACAAGATCTTGTTGTAGGTACTTGTTTGTGGTACGAGAACGTATCATTCTATAGCGCCTCATGTACTCATCTATAGAGATACTACCAGTTATTGGATTGAAAGGCAAATTAGGCTCATCATATATTTTTGCACGAGCCATTCTTGACCTATTTGGATCTTCTTGGTCATCATCAGACTCTCCATCAATATACCCATCTCGCTCATCCTCCACTATCATATTGTGTAATATGATGCAAGACATCATGATGGAGTCTAAATTTTCTCGACTCCACCCTCTTGCCAGTTCACTAATGATCTTCCACCATGCTTGTAGAATACCAAAAGCTCTCTCAACATCTTTTTGATATGCCTCTTGGTGTAAGGTAAACAACTTTTCCACGTCATTCCTAGGGTTTGGAATTGCTTGGACAAGTGTCCCCCACTTTGGGTAGATGCGATATGCCAAGTAATACCCCATATTGTATTGACGACCATTGATGTAGTAGTCAAGTTGAGGTGCTTTACCTTCCGTCAAGTTATTGAAGAGGGGTGAATGCCCAAGAACTGTAATGTCATTTTGGAATTCGGGGACTCCAAAGAAAGCATGCCAGATCCATGTGTCATATGAGGCAACCACCTCTAACACAACAATTGGCTTTCTCGACCTTCCGCTAAAGCTTCCTTGCCATCCGGTGGGACAGTTCTTCCAATCCCAATGCATGCAGTCTAATGACCCTATCATGCCCAGAAACCCATGGTCTTCAGCTTTGCGAAGGAGGCGATTCAGATCTTCTTGATTTGGCTCGCGGAGGTACTCGTCTTTGTAAAGCTGAACTATTGTGTCACAATATTCTTGAAGAGTATCAAGGCATGTAGACTCAGACAAACCATGGGTTTCATCCATCGAATTAGCTGGGAAGCCATAGGCCATCATTCAGAGTGCAACAGTAACCTTCTGATGAGGTGAGAAACTAGGGCGGCCTGCTCTGTCCCGCTTTTGTCGAAAGTATGGATTGACCTGCTGGACATCACAAAGTAAACGCTCGAAGACATGACGCCTCATCCGGAAGCGACGTCTGAAATCCTCTTCTATGTACACCAAGTTGGGGTCGAAGTAGTTGTTCATCAGATTAGCATGCGTCATCGCTCTGTTTCATGGTTTGTAAGAGCGACCAGCAATAGAGCCACCCCATTGAGGTTGTTCCTCAGTTGGCTGACACACCATGGCCGCAGCCATGGATGCTGCTATGTTTTGTTTGTTGCGCCTTACTTGAACTTCTTCATAAGACTCCTCATCTTCTCGTCTCATTTGCGCCCATTTTGATTCTCTTTTGGAATTGGATGAGGACCCTCAGTTGGAATCTGAAGAGGATCCAAAGTTGGAATTCATTGCAAACTTGAATTGAAAGAGATTGAATTTAAATAGAATGAATTCAAAGTTGTGTGAATTATATCCCAATATCCACCCTATTTATAGAAAAAAAAAATTCAAATCCAACGGCTAGCTGACGTCATTTAGCCGTTGGATTTGAATTTAAGTTGTAATTTTTAAATAATAAATTATGTTTGGCCCTATGGTCCTCGGTTGGAGACGGTTTTTTGTGAAAGAGCTAAAACGAGACCTCTGGCCCTCTAGCCCTCGGTTGGAGACGGAGGTAAATATGGTCCAGTACTGTTCATTTAAATATTAATATCTTGGAGAATCTTGGAGGGCCAGATGGCTAAAACGAGCAATCTGGGCAGCCATCGGTTGGAATGGCCTTATAGTATATTTGTTTCCCACAAAACTCGTCAAATCCGAGGCTGCCGCATTCTGGCGGATATACGATTGAAGTTGAAAGTGACTCCGATGAAAAAAGGGCGATTCCAAAGGAGAAAGGGTTAATCTGGTTGCAAGTGCTGGTGATATTATTATTGTTACAGCAATCACCAAAAACAAAATTGTAATACCGTTTGGGTAAAAGTTGAACCTTGCCATTATTTATAAAGATGGTATATATATATATGTTTTTTTTTTTTTTTTTTTTGACGATGGGAAATAATTTATAGAGTTGTCAAGACGACCAAGATGCATTTCCAATTGTTAAACTGTTATCGCTTCATAACTTATCACTAAACGTTCAACTAATTTATTCATATTTAGTCAGAAATTTATAATGACGTTTCTTCATTCATGATCGGTTTGCTTTGTTATTTAATTTGGACTATAATTTATAAATTTTAACAAGCTGATTCAAAATTATTAGCACTTCAAACTAACCCCCATGCATTTCTCGTTTTCTTTTTCTTTTTTAGTAAGAAAGAATATAAGATGATTTTTGTGGATTGTCAATAACAATTAAAAAAACTATAATGTCTAGTTTGTACACATTTAGGATTTGTTTGGAAGTACTTTTAAAATAACTAAAAGCTCTTTTTGAGAAAAAAAAAAATTTGGTTTCCAATTATCACTTGAAGTGCTTCCTAAAAGAAGTGTCAGTTATGAGCTTCTTTCAAAAAGAATTTTAAGTGTTTTACAAGATTTACTTGCGTTTTTACTAAGAATTAGATCCGCAAACATTTTCACCAAAAATGGTGTAGAGAGCACCACCATTAATGAAAACAACTAATATTTTTATGTCTGTATTAAATTAATAGTATGATATTGATTAGAAAATGAAAGGAATATAATTTTCTCTCTAATGGATTTGTTTGTCAATAATCTTTCGGAATAATATGCTCTATGGAGCAATTTATCGAATTGGATCATACAATTCTTCTTGTCGAATTGGATCACGTAACTCTTCGTATCGAATTGGATCACGTAACCCTTCGTATCGAATTGGATCGAGTAATTTACCAAATGAACTTTCAAGTCTCCTCAACTTCAATTCTTTTGAGCACCTTTTGCTATGCACATTACAGTGCAATGAGAACGTTAATTAGCAAACTTGTTTTAAAACCAATATAATTAAGACTTTTCAAACCCAGAACCGATTTAGAACACATAATTTAATAAAATGGAATTCAGGACCAATTTAATAATATAAAATGCGATTAAAAGTTAAACGAAAATCTTAAATAATCAATAACTATCGCACCAAACCAAACTGAAGAAGCTGAAGTAGAAGTATGTTGATTAGCAATTTAGCGCACAAAAATTTTAAGGAACCAAATAAATACAAGACAGAAGATGTTGGTACTAGGATGATGAACGGTCGAGAAGAAATGAGAAAAGATCCGACGGTGATGAAAGAATACAGACCAGCGGCATTTCACTATAAAAGGTGGAGTCGCTCCTCCACCTCTTCATTCCATTTCAAACGTCTGAGAGCAAAACAAGAGAGCAGAGAGAGAGAGAAAGAAAACAAAGATGTTGCTGCAGAAAGAGAAGTTGCTTTGTGTCATTGCTGCTGCCATTTTTCTAATAGCTTTGCTTTTATCTGCAGAGGCCCAACAAGGTTTTCCTTTAATCCTGCCTTGAAATTTTCATTTTCTTTTATCATCTTTTTCATGTCCTCTCTTAAGCTTGAGTGAAACTACTGTATTGTCGAAACATCAAACTACGTACTCAGTTAAAATCTTCAAGCATTTTTAAAAGATATATATAGTAGTTGTTTGTGTTGCTTTCTTTTGTTGACGGTTGTTCCAAATATCCTTGTTCAAAACTGTTCTTCTATTCTTATGTTTAAGCGTTCGTACCTGTTCGTTTAGTTTTTAATTTTTAGTTTGTGATTGTCGTGAAAAATCTGTTGATTCAATCTTGTTGAGTCTCGTGTCCATGAACAATCTTATTTACTTGTAGTCCTTTAGGTGTTCATTCTTTTTTAGAGTGCAACAACTTGTAATGTTTTTTCCTAGAGTCAGATAATGCTAATAATAAAATTTTCTGTTTACAATCATATGATAAACGATCGATAGTGTTGTCTTGGACACTTTCAGATAACTTGTGTTTCAATTGATGTCAATCACTTGCCCTGTGTAATTGTGCAACTCTTTTGCCAGTCTTTTTCTCTGCCTATGCCTTATATGTTTACCCTTTCATCATATGGTGATCAATCAAGTTTTCTACTTAGCACAATTAAATGGCGTTGTTGCAGTTGAGGTGATGAACTCAAGCAGTGCTGCACCCACTCTTGAACTCAACATTCACCGGGCTGATTTTCCGGTTGATTTTTTCATTGGAGTTGGCACTTCAGCTGCTCAGGTACATACATTGATGTTAAAAATGGTCAATTTACTCATACATATATACACACACACACACGTATGCGCTATATTGCACCGCCAAAAAGATTTTGTGATGTAACTCAAAAATATCACGGTCTAAAAAAAGGTTCAATTTTTAAGCGATCTTCCACCATATACCACACCAAATGCCTCGTGATCCTACCGCTCCTAGTCCTTCTGTCCCCCCTATTACTCCTACTTCTATCTCCATAGTTTGCATGGTGATGATATTCTTGATGAGGATATGATAAAAGTCTAGTTTTTCTTTATGTAACTGGTTTATGAATAGTTTGTAACTTTGTGAATTATCTTTATAAGATCATCATTATGTTTGGAATATTTTGATTTTATATTGTGTTGTTGAACTTGAACCATATGTATTTTGGTAGTTTATTATGCATTAATATGAAATTATTGTTAAATTATGTGTTTTGGTGCAAGTATTGTATATTTATTCATTACTATTTTACGCATTGCAAGTCTCGAATACCTTACGGGAAATCGCTACATAGCACGACATTGCATCGTAGAACCTCCCACGCGACGCCTTATGCAATGCAATTTCAAACTATGATACATGTATAGCCTCATACTTTCTTCTAAACGATCACTAAAAGTAAACATATTAATGTGATGTTGTGCAGACGGAAGGGGCAGTCGAAGAAGAAGGGCGATCCCCAAGTGTCTGGGATCATCGTGCCAAAATACTCCCAGGTTGACTTAACTTTCATTATCTTTTGTTCATATATGTCACGTTCCAGTCTTGACTCCGCCATAACACGATATTGTCTGCTTTAGGCTTACCATTCCCTCACAGATTTGTTTATAGGAACTCATATGAGAACTTCACAGTGGGTCACCCATACTAGGATTGCTCTCTCCCAAACTCACTTAACTTCGGAGTTCCGATGGAACCCGAAGACAGTGAGTTCCCAAAAGGCCTCGTGCTATATGGAGATGGGCATGTACATATAAGGCACATCACTCCCTCTCCGTTGGTCGATGTGGGATGTTACAATCCATCCCCTTAGGGGCCCGACGTCCTCGTCGGCACACTCGCTTCACACGGCAGAGTAGCTTTGATACCATTCTGTCACATCTCAGTCACGGCTCCACCGTAGCATGATATTGTCCTCTTTGGGCCCCGACCACACCCTCACAGTTTTGTTTCTAGGAACTCACACGAGAACTTCTCAGTGGGTCACTTATCTTGGGAATGTTCTCGCCCGAACTCGCTTAACTTCGGAGTTCCGATGGAATCTGAAGCCAGTGAGTTCCCAAAAGGTCTCGTGCTTTAGGAGGTGGCCATGTACATATAAGGCACATCATCCCCTCTCCGTTGGTTAATGTGGGATGTTACAATATATTGGAATCCTCATCTCACAAGTATGAGTTGCAGGTGCGATTCGAGACAGTAAGAAATTCTCTAAGGCAATTGATGGATACAGACGATACATGGTGAGTAGCAAAAAGGGTCAAAACATCTTTGACAATGCAAATAATTAATTGTTTTGAGAATTTAAACTAATGTATTGTATGGAATAATCTGAATTTAGGAGGACATTCAGCTTGTCAAGGAGCTTGGAGTGAACTCCTATAGATTCTCCATTTCCTGGAGTAGAATTTTACCAAGTAAGCTTCCTTTCTTTCTCGTCCCTTTGCTTTAGTTTTAATTTCATTCTTCTTTATCTTCTACTTGTTTAAGTTAATTTAATCCTTTATAACAAGATGATGGGGGCTCATGTTGATGAAACCTATGCAGAGGGAAGCATAAGTGGTGGAGTTAACCAACTTGGTGTAGATCATTACAATCGTCTGATCAACGAATTAATAAGAAATGGTAAATAAACTTCACTTCTGAAAGTTTATTAATTAGTAACCTAGTACTGCTTTGCGCCATGTAATTTTTGTAACTTGAGTTTCTTGTTTACGCTTCAAATTTTCTCAAGGATGTGTTTGATTTAACGTGTTTCTTGTGTCCTAATGCAGGCATTGAGCCTTTTGTCACGATCTATCACTTTGACTTGCCCCAAGTTCTGCAAGAGAAGTATGGAGGCTTGATGAATCACATGTTTGTGTAAGTTTAATCTTGTAGAATTATCATGTAATGTTTATTTCGAAATTCAGTTCGTTTAATTTAATAAATCACTTCATCTATCTATCTGATATTGCGAACATGACTGTGTATGAAAAGCAAACTCGAGCCTCTAATGATTATTGTGGCTCGTCGTATATTTCCCTTCTACTTTATGCATGCTTTCTCCTTCTTGTGCTTAATCTTTTATATATCCATGGAATCTATCTGCATCCTGTAAGTAAGATGGTCTGTGTTTGCAGGAAAGACTTCAGCGATTATGCTGAGCTCTGTTTCAAATTGTTTGGTGATAGAGTTAGGCATTGGTTCACCATTAATGAGCCAAATGTTCTTGCACAATATGGCTACGAGATTGGGATTGCCCCACCAGGAAGGTGCTCGCTTCCACAAGGACGTTGTGGGTTGGGATCTCCACCTCGATGTATGGTGCCCGTCGGTCCCTGTAACTTTGGTGGTAACTCGTCCACGGAGCCTTACATTGCTGCCCATCACATCATCCTTGCTCACGCCACTGCTGTGAAGCTATATAAAGAGAGATACCAGGTTAAACTTATAGAAACCACGTTCATCTCTATTCAAAGTTCAAAACTCATTGAAGGAATCTTGATAAAGTTTGTTTTGAATGTCGTCTTGCAGGTAGAGCAAAATGGAGAGATCGGAATCGTCCTTGCTACTAAGTATTTTAAGCCATATTCTAATTCACAGGAAGATCAAGCTGCAGCAAAGAGACTGTTTGATTTTTATCTAGGGTGGTCTGTATAACCACTAATGATAACTTTGAGAAGTCCATTAATTAATTTAATTTCATTAGCAGTTGATTAATATTAGCTTCTTGTTGAATTTGCATTAGGTTTATGGGACCGTTGGTATTTGGAAAATACCCACAAAGCATGAAAGAGCTGGTGAAGGAAAGGCTGCCCACATTTTCCGCTGAAGAGAAATCTCTTGTCAAGGGGAATTTAGGCTTTGTTGGGATAAACTATTATGAATCAGTTCATGCGAAATATAGGCCTCCTCCTCCTGCAGAGAATCTGAGCTATTCCTTCGATTCATGGGCGGAAGAAAAAGGTCAAATACAGTAGTTGTCATAGCCGTAATGGGAGAAAATAAATAAAACAAATCAAGCATAAGTATAGGTTCTAACCTTTTATGTTTCTTGATTTGTTTGGTTATTGCAGATATGAAAGATGTTCCTGGTGTGGTAAGAAACTTCTAACCTTTTATGTTCTTGCTTTTTTTATCACAATTCTTGAAGCTTTCTTGAATGAAACTTGTGCTTACATTTTCCTTGTGGTACAGTCCGAGAACCATTGGCCACAAGGGCTGCAGAAGCTCATGAACTATGTGAAGAATGAATATCGTAGCCCACAAATCTACATTTCCGAAAATGGTTGGATTTCTAACTTATGCTTCAGTTAATCCACATATGTTGGAAAGTATCTAATTAGTAATGGAAGTTATCACAGAACGTTAACATGAATTGTTACATCTGCTGTAACTTTTATAGGATATGGTAATCCAAGAAATGACAGACTTCCGCTCGATGAACAAGCAAAAGACCCAAATCGAATCTCCTATATCGCTCGGCATTTGTATTGGCTCAATAAGGCAATGAAGTAAGTGATATAACTTCTTAATTAACATAAATCGACTCAATGTATAATCACGTTCTTATCCGGTTTATCGCAGGAATGGAGCAAATGTCAAAGGGTACTTTTGTTGGGCTCTGTTCGATGACTTTGAATGGGGTATAGGGTTGTCTCAACAAGTTGGACTCTATTACGTTGATTTTGATGACAACTACAAGCGCTACCCCAAGCAATCAGCTAAGTGGTTCCGTGATTTCAACCACAACAGTGCTGCAATTAGTAGATCGACTTAGTTACATAATCTATCATTTCGGTTTTATGTAGTACGTACTTCATATTTTTCTATAATCAAGACTCTCGCATGTGTGACTTTAAACAATTTATGTATGCTATTAAGAATTTTCTGTTCAATTTGTGGTATCCATCTGTTATATCATGGTAAGAATACTTGTGTAGGACAGTTTAGGTTAGGTTACACTTCATAAAATATAAAAATGCAAATAAATCCAAACTGAGTTTTCAATTTTGTTTCGCAATTTAATTAGTACTACAAAGAGGTCACACTGAGTTTTCAGAGTTTTCAAACCTGAGTTCAAACTAGAAAGAGCTCAGATGTTTACTAATTTTTCCTTCTGGAAATATAAGGCTCGAAAAATTCAATTTACCGCTTGAACAAACAGAAAAGTTCAATTTACACATGCACTATATGCAATCACATATCGGTTTCACTACTGGAAGAATCTTCGAAAAGAGCCAGCATTGCTCGCCTGCTCGGCTCTATAAATTTTCTGTGTCCCCTGTAGGCAAGGTGACCCTGTTAGTTTCATTACTTTACACATGGAAATGCTTGCCTGCATTGCTTGGCCCACTTTCCACAATGTGAGTACAATACAAAGACATAACCCTAGCTCAGAGACACAAAGTAGTCAATGGCAGCTAGAGCTGAAGACTTGTATGTATTGGTTGTAGCTCATGTTCACATATTATCTCTAGCCGGAGACCGAGTGCAAAGTAAAGCTCTTCAATCCAAATTCTCTATGGAAGTAGATTCTAAGTTCTCAAACTGGTGATCACAAAGCTGCCTGAAAACTAAAGCGAATGTGGAAATGACGATTACCTTACATTCAATACATATATGAAACTAAGAAGGATAGCATGGGTGAGATAAATGAAAATCCCAACAAGGAAAAGGAGAGAAAGATACAACATTAGGGTTTAGGATTAAGGGTTTAGCAAAATGGGTTTTAATGATTAAAATTGAGAAGCACCCTCCTGATATCACCTAGAAAGTAATCTGCACTTTTCGCCTGCATCTTGCACATGATGCACCAATGTGGCAAAAACAACAATATGGTCTCCTTCTGTCTAGGAAATTTTCATCCTATCTTTTCCCCTCCTGATTAATGTTCTTTTTTAATTCTTGTGTAAATCTTGACCCTCAAAATTCCAAAGGCTACGTAGCAATGCAGGCCGAGTAAATATGAGCTAACGTTCCTCATGTGAATGAGGGCGTGCCGATTTGCGATCAAGCTTAGTCGGGTGTGTAGAATAGATGTGGTGGTGATGGTGTTGAATGCGCTGCTGACTTTTGTATTTAAGCAACTATGGCAAAGGATGGAACTGTCTCGGCCTTGGGTTTTATAACCTAAAGAAAATGTCGCTGTGTTCATTGCGAAGTTCAGGATCTCCTACAACAGGTTATGCCACTTCAACTATATTCATGAGAATATAGGTGTGCAAAATTAGTATTAGGTTGTAAGGTCACATGCATTCAAATGAGATATGCATTTCATTAACATGGTTCGGCCATCTGAATGCCAAATTGCAAAATGCACATGAGAGTAACCAATTATAGAACACTTCACTCCACTGGGAAGTTAATGAAGTAACCTCATTATGCAAAAGAATTGAGAACTCTTCGCCGACTGAGACTTGGATAGATAACCAACCGACCAGTAGCAATGTTGTTTACTTGTCCAAACTGAAGGTTCTACTAAATCGTCTGGTTCTACAGCTCCATTTTTGTTTACTTATCCAAACTGAAGATATCGTTGGTTGTCAAAACAGTGATGTTTACTTATCTAAACTGAAGGTGTGTTGGCAGGTGGGTTAATTACAATAGTTAGTATTTTTCTCAAGGGAGAAAGATTTCGCGTAGAGCATTTTGAGTTGTTTGTTGAGTTGAATGGGGCATATCATGTTGCAGTAAACTCTTTTATTTATAAGGATGGTTTTGAAGAATAATCAGGTTTGCTGAGGTAAAGTCTTGATAGAACTGTGTCACTAGCCAGTTACCTGAATAATTCTTTCTTTATCTCCTTTTATCCCTTCTTTAGTCACCTTTATCTAGTCTGGACCTCTTTGATTCAAACCAGGATTATGAACTTAGTCCTTTTGTGAGGTTAATTCATCTTTATCTAATCAAAATGAATTTTGATCTTTAGAATAATTTGCATCTAAACAAATACCATCTTTATCCTTGACAATTTTAGTCCACTAAAGACTCAATCGAGCCATATCTAAACTTAATCTATTTACAATTTGCTTACTCTAAAAACTACCAAGCCTACGTGACGCGCAAGTCGAGTAACTAATAAGCTAACTATGTCCTTCAGTTATGTGCGGTGTGTGCCAACTCGACCAAGGAGTAAAATGTGTTGATGTTGTGTTGAGCGCATTGCTGACTTCTTGATCCTGCGATTGAGATCAAGGAAGGAACGCGTCTCGGCCTTTGGGTTCTAGAGCCTAAAGACAAGGTTGTTGGTCATGTGAAGTTCATGAATTGTCGAAGCCGAGTTTGGTCACGATGATTATATTCGTAAGAGTATAAGCATGTCGAACTGGCACCAGGCTATATGGACACAAGCTCTCGAAAGAGATGTATGTCTTGATAGTAAATGTGAATCGGCTATCAGAATGCCTAACTCTGAAACTCATTTATGAATATCCAATCATAAAACAACTCGGCTTTCAATGTGTCAAGCCTAGTAACCTGTAACACCTCACTTCGCCGAGAAGGTTGATGAGATGACCTTTACCAATAGGAACTCGAAAGTCCTTGTCGACCAAGACTTGGATAAATAACCAGTCGGTCTCAAAGCAGTGTTGTTTATCCAAACTGAATGTGCTCCTTGATCGGCTGATTCTACGGCTCCAGTGCTGTTTATCCAGACTGAAAATGTCGCCAGTTGCTTTCACAGTGCTGTTTATCCAAACTAAAGATGTGTTGGTGGAAGAAATGGGAAGAGGATAAAATCTCAAATGTTGTTGAGAAGATTTGCGCAGAGCAATTTATGTGTTGAATTGGAGGGGGCTTTTGAATGTACACTCCCTCATCTATTTATTGTAGCGAAACCATTCATAGCCGAGCTAAAATCATACTCGGATTATAACTCTTTAACCTAATTTGATAAGGTTTCGGCCAATCCTAACTCCAAAATGACTATGAACCGAGCTAATTAACAAACCAGATTCATTTCCTAAGTCTCAGCATCTTAGTTTATTAAGACTCCTAATTGCACTAGGTTTCGACTACTCCATCCCTATCTAAACCAATCTGTCCTGCAATAGGATTCGGTCGATCCTGACCGGATGGCCCACGATGACTAGACGGTCCATAATAATTCTAGAAGAAGACTACTAGGCCAAAAACAACTCTAAGCTTGGCCCAAAATAATATTTTGGGCCCAAACATTGCCCCTTCTTCTAAGGTCTTCGGCCTACAAGTCTTGGCCAAACTTCGACCTTGAATAAGCGAAATTGACCCTCAACATATTCCTAATGGACACTAAGAAACCTCAAATCTCCCAACCATTCAGGCACATTTATGGAGTACGATTGCACGATTTCAATCATGTCAGACTCCCTGCCACATGGCATCTTCTTAGCATATATATCTCTTAATAATGACCCCTAAGGCATGCAGACACTGAAACGTCGTTTCGCCATAATCACCGTCATATGCAATCGTGCAGCCTTGATTCGTGAGCTTTTCAGCATCCTTGAGTCGTGCGAGCACTAAAACGTCACTTCGCCATAAAACTCGATGTCACACATAATCATGCATCCTCAATACGCGAGCTTTTCTGCTTCTTCATTTGGATTCTCTGAATATCCATCATGATTACATAATATTGTGGTCGAATCTACCCCTTATTCTTTAAAAATAAAATCATTGATCTTCTTCCTAAATGCCTATAAATATCCAACTCTGCTTCATTCAGATCTTCACGCTTTCAAATATCTCAAATCTCTTGCCATTTGCTCCTAAACTCAGAAAAGAAACCATACTTTGAAACCCAAAAAAACCTTTATCTTCCTCAATGGCTGCCAATACTTTCATTATCAAGTTTGCCGAGAAATGCGATAAGTGTCGTAACATCACTGATCGGAACAATATCAAAACCATCTAATTCGAGGATGAGCCAAGTACTTTCCACCAAACCCTTGGCCCACTTTCCAAGGATGATGTTCCAGAAGTCATCATCGAAATGTTGAAGGCTCACTGCTTGAAAGCTTTGTTCCAAGGGTATGATTGGTCGAAAAAGGAATCGACTAAACCCTAAGGTGTCTAGTCCTCGACCACTGCGACCTGGGCTGCTTGGGTCACTCGAATAAAGCCATACTTTGGCGACGAATGGAAATCTCTCGGCATTTTTTATGCCATCAAACTCTCGACCATCAAGATGAACTTGGATCGAGAACTTGTGATGGTTGCCCTTAGCTTTTGGTGCTCGGTCACCAACACGATGGTTCTTCCCCTCGACCCCCTTAGTCCAACGGTGCTGGTCATTACTGCCATACTTGGCACCTCTCCCACCGACCTTTCAATCGACACTTCTTTCTTTGGGTATAAATTTGACCTGGACCTGAAGACAATCTTCGAAGAAAGTGCCATTAAAGCCTTGATGAAGGGAAACCAAAAGCCGTCGAAAGAGGACACGCATAAACTGCACAAGAACTTTTTCAATTACAACACCTTGATCACCCACTTCGCAGACTCAGAAGGGGGAAACGGGGCCTTCTTATTATATTGGTACAACAAGTACACCTTTTGTGTTAAGTCGAATAAGTGTCTAGCCAAGAACATGCCCGTCGCCGAAGCCTTGGCCAACGATCATGTCCTGACCCTTAGTCCAGCCATTCTTGCCAACCTCACCAGGTGCTTGGCCGAAGCTATCGTAGCGAAAATCAACCCTTACCAAAATGACCCACTCTGGGTCTTCCAACTTTGGCTGCATGTCTATTTCTCAATGTTGCGACCAGAAGTTCCAAGCTTCAATTCCTCCGAAGC